TACCTAGGTATGGGTACCTAGGTATGTGTAGCACGCCCGCTGTCCATAGCTGGTTAATGATGAAGTGTCTGAGGGAGGCGCTGTCCCTGTTTCCCATAGCAACCACTCAGTTCCTCCATGGGGGGAGGGTCTCGTTGATGGCAGGTCTGTGTCTGCGTCTCTCATCAGTCATTTCTCTTCCAGCGAGAACACACGGGCCGCCTGGTCATCGGAGACCACAAATCAACATCACACCTCCGGTCAGGTAAGGACCCCGCCATCCCTCCCCGGGGCCCCCGCTGTCTCCTCTGTGTGATTCCCCCTCCCCGGGGGCCCGCTGTCTCCTCTGTGTTGATCCTCTGGTTTCTGTGGGCAACAGTGAGTTGAGGAGGGGCCCAGTTATGAGAGGCTCCGCCCCTTCAGGTGCTATGTTGCTGGTACATGCCAGTGTTGGGAATTGTAGTTCCTTTCCAATGTATCCCCCTCCCCCTCTCTCTCTGATTGTACTATGGGGGCTTATTTCTCTCACATAATGAAGCCCATCAGGGAGATGTATGAAGTGTTCAGTGATTGGTGGAAGGAACACTTAGACCCTCCCACACCCTCGGAGCGATCCCTTTTGTGGCTGCAGGAATAGTAGCGCAGTACTTGACAAGTAAAGGCCCGGTGTTGTCTGTGCCGTGTGCTGGTGCGGGGCCCGGTGTTGTCTGTGTCGTGTGTTGGTGCGGGGCCCGGTGTTGTCTGTGCCGTGTGCTGGTGCGGGGCCCTGTGTTGTCTGTGCCGTGTGCTGGTGCGGGGCCCTGTGTTGTCTGTGCCGTGTGCTGGTGCGGGGCCCTGTGTTGTCTGTGCCGTGTGCTGGTGCGGGGCCCTGTGTTGTCTGTGCCGTGTGCTGGTGCGGGGCCCTGTGTTGTCTGTGCCGTGTGCTGGTGCGGGGCCCTGTGTTGTCTGTGCCGTGTGCTGGTGCGGGGCCCTGTGTTGTCTGTGCCGTGTGCTGGTGCGGGGCCCTGTGTTGTCTGTGCCGTGTGCTGGTGCGGGGCCCTGTGTTGTCTGTGCCGTGTGCTGGTGCGGGGCCCTGTGTTGTCTGTGCCGTGTGCTGGTGCGGGGCCCTGTGTTGTCTGTGCCGTGTGCTGGTGCGGGGCCCTGTGTTGTCTGTGCCGTGTGCTGGTGCGGGGCCCTGTGTTGTCTGTGCCGTGTGCTGGTGCGGGGCCCTGTGTTGTCTGTGCCGTGTGCTGGTGCGGGGCCCTGTGTTGTCTGTGCCGTGTGCTGGTGCGGGGCCCTGTGTTGTCTGTGCCGTGTGCTGGTGCGGGGCCCTGTGTTGTCTGTGCCGTGTGCTGGTGCGGGGCCCTGTGTTGTCTGTGCCGTGTGCTGGTGCGGGGCCCTGTGTTGTCTGTGCCGTGTGCTGGTGCGGGGCCCTGTGTTGTCTGTGCCGTGTGCTGGTGCGGGGCCCTGTGTTGTCTGTGCCGTGTGCAGGTGCGGGGCCCTGTGCTGTCTGTGCTGGTGCGGGGCCCTGTGTTGTCTGTGCCGTGTGCAGGTGCGGGGCCCTGTGCTGTCTGGACTGTGACCACCAAATTGTGAACATTCAGTATGGGTGTCACCGGACGGTCACCATTAATCTCTCATCTTCTCTGTCAGGAGACGAGGATCAGAAAATGAACGATGAGTTGGAGCACCAGTACCAGCAGAGTGTGGACAGCAGCGTATCCGGGCGGAACCGGCGGCACTGTGGACTGGGCTTTAGTGATGGAAGGAAAATATTTTCCTACACACACACACACCTGACTTCCTGTCTGGTAATCCTATAGAAGAATACAGCCGTTGTGGAGTCTGGTAGGCTCTTGATGGTGATTGAGTTGCTGGCCCCGCCCCTTCCTCTGTGGTGGACTCCGCGTCCTTCAGTCTGGCAGATCAGTTCGGACTCTGCGGAATGTTCTAGAAAAGTCAGCGTGACATATTTTTGGTTCCCTCCCTGCTGAATGATTTGAAATTCTGTTCAGGCAGCCTTGTGATTTTATGTTCACACCTCTGCCGCTCTGCACGGTCAGGAAGATCACTGCACAACTTCCTGTCACCTCCCTGCTGATTGGATGGGGGTGATGATGATGTGTCCATTGAGCAGGCTGAAGGCGGAGAGGTGACCCAGGGGGAGGTGCTTGGCTGGGATCAGTTGAAGGGGAGGTGCTTGGCTGGGATCAGTTGAAGGGGAGGTGCTTGGCTGGGATCAGTTGAAGGGGAGGTGCTTGGCTGGGATCAGTTGAAGGGGAGGTCCTAGGGCAGTGGTTCTCAACCTGTGGGTCGGGACCCCCTCGGGGGTCGACTGACGATTTGCCAGGGGTCGCCTAGTGGCTCTGGGCCGCCGGGAGAGAAACACTTTCTCCCGGAAAGGTCGGGACCTTTCTCTGCTCTTTTTTTTTTAAATCGGGGGGCCGCCGTAAGTCAGAAACCCCCCACCATAGCTAGATTCCTATTGGCTATTTCACTTTGCAAAAGCCAATGGCAAACTAGCTATTGCACCCTCCCTCTGATGCTGCCAATCAGCAGAGGGGAACCTGCAGTTCTCCATCAGGTCCCCTTCTACTGATTGACAGCAGCAGAGGGCGGGTGCAATATGTATTCAAGCAAAAAAAATATGTAAGACGCACCTCCTAGCTACGCATTCCATGTTCCCGGTCCGCAGCTGCAGAGATCGGATAATGTCTCAGTACCTGGGATTGGCACTGCGCGCTGTCAGCTTCCTGGCGGGCTCGGCACGTGGAGCAGCGATCCCTATCACTGACAGTACCGCGGAGTATGCACCTCATACGTTATATAGCCGCACACTTTAAATCCAATTCTTCTAGTTCCAGCTGCAGAGCCCGGTCCGGTCTTTGCCTATAGCAGCGGTTCTCACCCTGCGGGGTCGCTGTGCAAGGTGAGAGTCCTCCTCAGCCCTCTCCTAGCGCAGCAGTGTCGGTTCTCCCGCCACGCCGCCAGATGTCGCTGCAGCAGCCGCGTCATCCCTAAATTTTACCGTTGGGGGTCACCACAACTTGGCAAAT